GTTACCCAAGGTGGTGTCGGCAATCAACCATGAAGCCACCCGTCTCACCGGCAAGAAACCGGCACACGCTATCAAACTAAAATCAATAGTGGCAGAGTCGGCTGCTCCATTGCGTGGGAAAGAGAAACAGATACCAGATAGGGCCCTAGTGAGGTACCTATACCAGCCGGGGGAACACGAGGGTGATAGCCGTAAGCGAGCCACCGATCCTATATGGTCAGTCAAAACTTACAACATAGATAAAGTGGACCTGAAAGCCGACGAGCCTAACTTGTACTACTTGAGGGATGGGCCAGGTAGAGGGCTCGTTAGACAGGAATTATTGATCGTGCCGTACGGCACAGTGTTACCTCCAGTCAACACGGCATAGCGGCACGTGGAGCGATGATGCAATCCCAGGATAGACCCGTTAAACCGACACACTTCAGCCATGTCCCCGGTGCGGGTTGTGAGGTGTACATGTGGAGTTCGTATCCCGCTGGCGTCTCAAACTTTTTTATAGTAGGGGGAATGGGGGGCCTGAACAAAAGCCTTATTTGGTAAATAAGGCTTTGCAGAGGCTTTTGTTGGACTTGATCCAAAACCCCCATTGTATATACTACTGCACTTGAATTCACTTCAAGCGATGATGCATCAAGCGATGATGCAATCCCAGGATAGACCCGTTAAACCGACACACTTCAGCCATGTCCCCGGTGCGGGTTGTGAGGTGTACATGTGGAGTTCGTATCCCGCTGGCGTCTCAAACTTTTTTATAGTAGGGGGAATGGGGGGCCTGAACAAAAGCCTTATTTGGTAAATAAGGCTTTGCAGAGGCTTTTGTTGGACTTGATCCAAAACCCCCATTGTATATACTACTGCACTTGAATTCACTTCCGCTTACGTCACCAACTTGCCTCACGTGCAGCTAAGCTTAGAGCCACGTAATATCCGCCGGCATTACGTCACGTCTTTTTAATAGCACTTCACATGCTCCGGCTAACTGCTGTATAAAAAGTCCGTTTCCCACCCTCCTGTCCCCATCCCTTTCACAACGCTTCCACAATGATTTATGTTATCATTAATAATTTTGTCTTACCCGTTTTCACTTGTTTGATCGCAATATGGATGAAATAGTGCAAATGCGATGGAAAATCTATATCAGCTCAGTTAATTTAATGGCAGACTATGTTGCTTTCATTTGTTTCTTAATTTGCTTTGCTTGCAGTCGGTGCCCCTCACCCAATCAGGCTGCATCCACCCGGTAAGACTTTGTGCGGTAAGATCTTGTCAGGTCGGTTTCTTTGTAACTTTTCACTGTTGTAAATAAACTGGTGCAGTGTGGCATGGTACCGGCGGGACTCCGCACCTCTACATTACAGCTTGCTTGCTTGCTCTACCTGGATACTCGGTACCCGCTGTTAAAGCGGGAGCCCAAAGCTCCCACCTGCTGCTTCCGCGGGGGGAGTGTTCAGTTTTCCCAGCAGTTGGGCTGCCATGCCACGCCGGACCAACTTGTGCACACCCGTGCGGGTCTGCAAATGCTTCGCTAGCCCGTGTGGGCTTTCCATGCTTCGGTGCGGTTTCCCGTCCTCGCCATCCACACTGCTCATTTGAATTCCACACTGGCTTTCAGTCTTCATTTATTGTGTTGGCGCTCTCAGGTTTCCTTAACAGTCAGCTCATAATGTATGGGCAGGTGGGATTGTTACGGGCGGCGGGAGATGAGAAACACAAAATTAAATAGGGACGCCCTAACGCATATGCAAGCTCTTTAACATCTGAAAGCTTGAATGTGGTATTATTGCAAGCAATAAAATTCTTACAGTTACCCCATGTCAGCTCAATGGGACTGATCTCACAGTGCCGTACTGGTGTACGCAGAACTAAGTGGCCTTGTTTTGCAGCTAGTTCATCAGTGATGTACTGGATTGGCTTTTTGTGCTGCCGGATTTTTTCCATGAGCTGGGGCTTTGTTTGTGATTGCCTGTAAGGCACGTTACAGGAAGTGAGAAAATCCTGCAACTGAGCCTTGAGATTGCTCATGGTGGACGTGATGGTACCAGGGACACGCAGGTTATGGTAACTGGCGTTATCCAAAATGATAATGCTTGGTTCATCCAGCTGTGGTAAAAGCTGATGTTCGAACCAATCCAAAAATACCTGCCCATTCATTTTGCTATGGTAATCACCATCAGATTTCTTGGCCTCAAAAACAAAGTCACAACCCCCAATCAGTCCCTTGCTACGGGTACCAGCATGCAAGATGATCAGGCGTCTACCTTTGCCTGATGGTAACACTGGTGCCTTAGAACAATCTGAAGGAAGCCACATCCGATCGGTTGAGTGATTTTTATTACACCAGGTTTCATCAAGTTTGAAACCCCAAATTGCGGCATTCTTCAACTGTTCTGAGATAAGCTGATCACATGGACAGGATTGAGTACTTTTCTCTAAACACAGCTCTGTCATCACCCCTTTTGGTGTACCTGAACCCTATTTCTACCAGAGCTACAATAAGTGTTGTTTTCGAGACATTTATTGTATCTTTGATCTCATCTTGTATTGTAGCACACGTCGGTGGGATTTTGCGTTCACACAGTTTATAAACTGCACGGCGTATGACACCCTTATCAAAACTATCCAGTTTGTGTTTCCTACCTGGTTTTGATTTTGACACGACCCCTGAGGTAACTGATTTGTTTACAACTTTGTAAACCTGACTATATGTCACATTAAGGGCTTTACACATTCTATAGTAAACCCTGTCATAGCTGAGGGGGAGGTTTCCCCCTTTGTTTCTCCAGTATGCAATACTGGTATAAATTTGAAATTAATTGTTCTGCAGAGATATCAAGTCGCATGTTGCCAATCATATATGTAATTTAATTAATTGAGGCTATATGAATAATTATAGTCTGTATTTCAAAACTACAGTTTGTACTTAGAATATTTACGAATGTTGTAAAAACGTCAAAATTTCCTCCTGTGAAGTCACCCCACAAGTGTATTTTTTCATCTGAGCTTTAATATCCAACTAGGTAGAGTCGTACATGTATCATATATATGTGCTTTTATCTTGTGTCAAATTCCTCATATTGATATTGAAGCCAAAAAGCATTTTCCAAGCATTTCTGGCATTACTTTAGTGTTTTGCTGATTGTCTGGCTCATGTTGCATTCTCCGGTGATAAAAGTAGCAATGGAAATGTGTCTGCAAATAAGCAGACAGAATGTTGTTGTTTATACAACATTAATACTGGACTGTCAATATTTGGTGAACGAACTTCAGTGGATTCATAGGACACCAATACAGGTGAGTCTACATCATGGCGAAACAAGCATCTAAAAATTTCACTCAAATAAAAGTTTGGCGTGAGGACCCCACACTCTTATATTCAGCAAACTTTGTCATTTAAATCGCTGCAGAGACTGCATCTCTGATGCAAGACGATTGTGGGTCAAAAGAGGAGGTCTTCTTACATTGTTGACAATATTTTCTTTTCCTTGAAAAAAAAAGTTTTTGCCCATGGTGAAATTAGGGATTCAAAGTGAATTTCTTTAACTTCATTTATAGCACGTCTGCTCAATAGCACCTCTGCTCAATAGCACGTCTGCTCAACAGCATGACAAGAAAGAGAATGATCAGACTGGGGTGTCACATGGTCAGCCAGAAGGCATGCTGCATGCTTCACAGAGGCTGAGAATGTCCAGGATCTGGAGTAGAGGAGCATGTTTTGGCGAATGGTACAAGAGAAGCTGAAAACTTAGTTTACAGTTCGTTTACACTCAGCTGTCAATCATGAGAGAGAGAGAGCACAATCCGTGAGTTTAAAATGACTATTGTTGGATTATATTTCATAATTACAATGTGATTTTGATATCTACAAACCTGGTGGAATCCTTTTATCTACTGTTATAGCGTCTTATTCAGGACAGCCAAGCCACGCGTGACCTAATTGTAATTATTCAATCTGCAATCTTAATCCTTATCACTACCGCAGTGTACATTGTCTTGTCAGCCACCCTGTACCACTCTGTCACTGTCATTAATTACTGTATATGGCATTTATTGCCTTAATTGGTCATCCCCCTTGGCCGTGTCTGCCATCACATCAACTGGTCAAGGAAGTGCTATTGTTTTTCTATCTGTCCATTGTTGAGTCGTTGCCTGTCCATTGTTGTCAAAAACTGTATATATATGCTCACATCTATACTGTCAGCAGGCCGGTATTCTGACTGTCTGTGAAGGGACAACCACGAGCAGGATAATGCCACTCGTAGGAAACGCCCTGGGGTTGAGCAGGAACTCCGCTCACCTCATTCTTGTATACTTGTTTGCCATGTCTTGTGAACTCAACTATGCCTTTGTCTTCGGCAATGTATACTTCGTCTTAATAATGAGCTAGTTCCCCAGACTGTATCTATGCATTGACACTATCATGACCAGAACTATTTTTACAGGGTGAATTTATATGTTTTGATGAAATGATTTTCATGAAAATCTAGTTATGGACCTGATAATGAGCTAAGGTGACTTGTTAGTGAAGGCAGAGACCATATAATCTATTATATGGTCTCTAGTGAAGGTCAATTACTCAGCGGACTTCTTTTGAATAAGAACTGTTTGAAACACTGGAAGTGGTTCAGTACATTTACAATAATTTGACAGCTGGAAAATCTTGATTTAAACACGCACTTACTGCATGAAAATTTCAAGGAAAAAATCTTGAACAATGTTTTCTGGTTTCTGCACCTGTTTTGGAATACATTTACTATACTAAACCAAAATAAACAGAGGTGGTAGATGTAAATACAACTGTTCTGTGCTAAACAAACAAACAATATTAAGTTACACAAGCTACATATACAAGTTTCCAGAAAAAGACATCTTCCTAGATACTTTTCAGTGGAAATTGTCCAAAGATCCATCTTGGGGACATGTTAATCAATTGAATATAATGAACTACTAATACTGCATTATGTGATATGCACAAATATTGAGACAAAAATGAATTCTACCTGATGCATAGGATATGTGAGAAAGGTTTCCAGAGTGCGACCTTCACAAGCAGGCTTCTCTTCATAACGACGTAGGAGGTTGTTAAATTCTGGTCGCTGCTTGTATTCAGCCAGAACCTACATAACAAGGAAACATCACATTAAAAGTCACATGAAAATGAATTCCAGTTAGTATTGAGTTCAACTGGGGTAATAAATTGAAAATAAGACTGTGACATCCCATGACTTCTGAAAATATCGGCTGACACAAATTTATCAAAAGAGAAAAGGACAAGAATACACCCTCTCAACTGCTTTGATAAGCCAAAACAAGGTAACTCGTCCAAGAAGTGTAACCAGTAAAAAGACCATTCCCATCCACTGATATACCTGCCTGAATGAGAGTGAGTGAGTGAGTGAGTGAGTTTAGTTTTACGCAGCACCAAGCAATATTCCAGCTAAATGGTGGCGGTCTGTAAATAATCGAGTCTGGACCAGACAATCCAGTGATCAACAGCATGAGCATCGATCTGCGCAATTGGGAACTGATGACATGTGTCAACCAAGTCATCGAGTAGTGTTGGGAATCGGAACCCAAATCCACAATCAGAGGATTGTGGTGAACGATTATCGATTATAATCGAAGTATATACATTTTTAATGTTATCACCAATTTCAAGGGTTTTTCCCCCAGGTTTTTTCTAATGAATGTTTTTTATCACTAATACTGTCAGGCAATGAAATTCGTGCATGCAACAAAGACACTGGAATTGTAATTAAACAATAAAAGTGGTTAAAATGTTACAATGCGCATAGCTTTACGGTGTTGAGTGCATGTTTGTTCATGAATATTTGTCAAATTTAATTTTTACTTTACTTCATTCAACTTTGTTATACTAAAACAACAAAAGTCTGATTAATTGAAAATATATTTTTTACAATCGATAATCAATTTTAATCCTTCTTTCGATCGATTTTCGATTATTTTAGATCATTGGAACACCACTATCAGCGAACCTGACCACCCGCCACCAGTCGCCATTTGTGGCTAGCATGGGTTGCTGAAGACCTATTCTACCCCGGATCTTCACGGGTCTGCCTGATGAGAAATAAGAAAGACCCATGAGACTCCTTCATCTGTTTCATATTTAGGTCTATGCAGAAAGATTCAGAGTAAGAAAACATTGCATGACAAGGACAACTTTCCTTTCATAAAGAGCAATTTTTCTGCAGCTCAAGCATTTGGTGTCAACATTTCACAAATTTTGAGGCATGGTCTTTCACCAAAGTTGTTTAATCCACTCTTCAGTAAAGCTTTCTCAATGTTTAAATTTCAGACATGTGGAAGAAATGTTCAAATTTTATTCACAGTGACAAAAACACTTTTGTGTGAAAGTTTTATTCACTGCGGAACAGTGTTGAAACTTAGTTGCATTGTTTCTGTTCATATTCCATGGAAGGCAGTGACATGCTATTAACTATTATTTTGACTCATATGTATTTAGAAAAAAAACTGGTCTGGAAGGATCCAGAGCATCTGGATTATTTCAGTGCAGTCTGACACAGCAAGTTGGAGAAAGTTCCAGAACAGAAACTTCTGGAAGCCTTTTTATCTATTTGGGCAGTCTTGTCTTTGTAATTTGACATTACAAGAAGATCAGCAATTGAGTGAAGATCACTTTGCACCAAGGATTCCCAGTCCAGTCCTATTTTGGAATTTCAAAGAATATTATGGGCAAAGTTTTAGAATGATAGATGCTTCCATATCATATCGCCACTGTATCTGTACTGCCATTGCCATTCCTTTATATTGATTTGTAAACTTAGTTCATTTCAGAATATGATCGTTAATTGTACAATTTTTGGTTGGTTGGTTGGTTGGTTTCAAACTAAATTCCTTTACTTACTGATTTCCAGTTAACTTTTTGTTCCAAGGTGGTAATCGACATGCCCCACTCAATTTATGTTTACCATACATTCAGGTCCGAATTTCACCTACAAACTACGCCGAAGTTCTGATGACAAATTACACAAACAACTGGTCCATGCCAACCATCTGAAGCCATATTGCGATCCAGCTGATCATCCACAGTATCCACCAGAACCATACCTCAACAACAACAATATGGATTCAAGGGTCATAGATGTCAATGAGGAACCAATCAACGATCCACAACTTGACAGCAACAATGCACAGTCAACAAGTTCAACCAATGACCAATCACCTGTGCAACAAAAAGGTAAGAAAGCCAATTCAGAAACCAAGGCAGGTAATCCAAGGACTCCAACAGTGTATGAAATAAGGCCCGTCCAAACGCTCGAGACTGGCTAGATTTCTGAGGGACGGTCTAAATTTACAGCTAGCCAGCACGATGGTCTGGTACAAATTTTACATGTTCCATACACCTGAGTAAATTCACCATATTTGGTCTGGTTAAATCCATTTTGGGCTGGTAACATTTTGAACTTACCAGCCCTGATGCCCAGATTTTTGGCTTATTTCATACACTGACTCCAACCAAGGAGAAGAAAGGCTTTCAGGAAAGCTCAGCAGGACCCAGTACAACAGTTACAAACCAGAAGCAGAGCACCCCAAGTCGAAGTAATCCAACCAAGGAGAAAGGAAATACAAACAAGGGAAAACGAGGAGTAAACAGTAAGCATTATCAGCCAAAATCAAGGCCACAATCAGAATCAAGTCAGGTTCAACAACCAACCCAACAACCAACGTCAAACAATGATGCCAAGGTTTTCAATCATGATGACATTCACTCAATTCTTGCTTCCAAGAGAGCAAACAACAAAATCTATTACAGAGTGAAATGGAAGGATCCAGAAAGAGGAAACACAACAGCAGATGTCAGAACCTCTCAACCATACCATGGACTGTGCGCAAGATGCACATCTGGTCGCGAGAATCAATATTCCTGCGAAAAATACAGGATCTCCTTTTTAAACAACACTGTTAACCTCTGGGGTAGGTATATTTGTGTCCAGTCATTTCACTTGTGATACCTGATGTCACTAGTTGTGAACATCAGGTATCAGGCATCAGTCTGATCTTCTGAGTTAATTGCATCACAACATATTTTGAGCATTGATGTGATCAACCAATCTAAAAATCAAAGTGAACTTATATGAACGAAACCAAATAATCGTATCGAGCCAGAACTAACATAACCATCATGAAATGGAAACGAAAATAAGCCGTACCGAAGAATATCGTGCAAAATACAATTGAGCGAATTGAACCGAACCTCAGCCAAACGTACAGGCTGAGCCGAATCAAAATGAACCAAAATTAATGAAGTAAACTCAAACTAATGAATCAAAGTAAACCAAAGTTAAAATAAAATAAAATAAAAAACCCTAAACAATTAAGACGTTTAAAAGACTAACAAATTCAATCAAATTAACAAGGTACGTAACAAATGGTTTTAAACAAAATATGTATACTAGGCACATAAAGAAACTGTGCATACAAAAATTTAAAATCTAAATTTATCAAACCTGTGTAGACACATAAGGATTTAAACTCAGAGATTAGTCACATGTATCCAACATGCATGCACGTGCCACGTTCTGTGACGTCAGTGGGTTCATCCTTGAGACGTGCAATACATTGTTGCACGTGCATTCCGGGAAAGAGAAACAGAGCAAATGAATGCCACACAATACTGTCACTTTGGAAAGCTCAACCCCTGCCCTTGCGATCGTTAAAAAATTAAACGGCTATTGAAACGCATAGCATGCCAAGGCTCACGTCTGCACAACGTCATGAGGCCATTGGGATGGTCCGTGGGGGAATGTATCATCGACAAGTGGCTGCACATTTCCACTGCCACCAGAACACCATTTCTGCACTGGTGAGACGCTACCAGAACACAAATGACGTCATCGATCGGCCACGTTCTGGACGTCCACGTGTAACAACGCCAAGACAGGACAGATGGATAAAGGTGGCCCATCTTCGCCACAGGTTACAGACTGCAGTGATGACTGCCCGAACCATCTCAGGACTTCGCCGTATCCACCCCAACACAGTTCGACAACGTTTACGTCATCACGGGATCAGACCATGACGTCCCGCCATACGGCCTATCCTGACACAACGTCATCGACAAGCTCGCCAAATGTGGTGCCGAAATCATGTCCGCAGACCCTTGTTTTGGTGGAGAAATGTTGTTTTTACAGATGAGTCCAGGTTTAACATTTCCCATAATGATGGACGTCAACGTGCCTATAGACGCGTGGGAGAACGTTATGCACAGGCCTGTGTCTTGGAGAGGAATCGCTTTGGTGGTGGTTCCGTGATGATTTGGGGTGGAATAACCACACGCCAAAGAACTCCTTTGGTGATTGTTCAGGGCAACTTAACTGGTGTGGGCTTTAGGGATCAGATTCTTCGACCTGTGGCAATTCCTTTTCTGCAACGTCATGGCCCTGGGTTAACATTCCAACAGGACAATGCCCGTCCTCATACGGCAAGGGTTGCTATTGATTTCTTGCAACACCACAACGTTGACTTACTGCCTTGGCCTGCAAATTCTACGGATCTCTCCCCGATAGAGCATGTTTGGGACGAGATGGATCGATGTCTACGCCGTCTTCCTCATCCGCCAGATAACGTCCTTGACCTTGCAACAGAACTTGAGAGAATCTGGCGTGACATCCCACAAGCCTTCCTTGCACGTTTGATAGGCTCTATGCGTCGTCGATGCACTGCTGTTCTCAATGCCGATGGTGGACATACCCGTTATTGAGCTTGTGACATGGTCATTTGACCCCTGTCCCGCTTGTGGACTCGTGACGTCATTGTGATTGACTTTTCAATTGAAATTCTCCCGACTTGTTATGGTCTCATGATCCCTCCATTAAAGTTTATATGTACCTTTGACATTGTTATCATACTTATCAACTGGGATAATATTTTGACAATGCACAGTTTCTTTATGTGGCTAGTATATATGTAAGAGTTCAATGAACTAATGCACTTGTTAACATTTATATATTTACTAAATCATGTACATTGTGTTATTCACTGCCCATGCATTATTCCAGGTCATGACTTCATACTATAAATGTCACCTTTTACAATGCACTAACAAACAATTTATTTGCAGGGAAAAGTATCTTTA